CCCCAAAACCCCAAAACCCCAAAACCCCGGCTTTAGGACAGCTGATTGAATGTTTTGAATTGGAGTTTATAGGTTAAATGGAGTCTTTGTGAGGGTTTATGCCGATGCTTACTTTTTTAGAGAAAGTACTGATTTGGTCAAGGAAGAGGCTCAAGTAATCACCTTAGATTTGATTGATTTAGAGGAATGAGTAAATCGAACATTGTGATTGGCTTTTAAAGATTTTTGATGTTTATATCCAAGCATGTTCAATTTGATAAAGGTTGAGTTTGATGCTAAATAATTTTGGAGATAAGTCATTGAAATTTAAAGAAAACTTCTATTCATAACTAGAATTAATGAGATATTATAAGCAATTCTGTTGAAAATTTAATACTTTGAATTATATATTCTTGAACATGATGTTTGAAACATCAATTTGGTAGATGACTTCATTGTCAAATGTTATTGAATATTATGAAATAAAATTTTAAAATAAAAAATATTTAAAGAGTCATTCGAAGGAACATATGCAAATTCTGTCAGATAGATTTGAGAATCCATTCTAGTTTTTGTTTAAAACTGACAATAATAAAACTCCTCAATAAGTATACGCGATGGAGCATAAAAGTTTGATCGGATGCATACAAATTTTGTATTGGCTTCATGAATTGTTGTAGACATACTCAAACATGTAATAATATCTTCAGTTGTTGAACTCCTTCCTTATTTTTAGCATATATTACATCTCCCTCACTGCAGTAACATGGCTCAGACAGAGATCGTTCTAAACAGAGTCATAGAAAGTCAGCTCCGAACAAATATTGTGCTCTGTGATGTTCAATATACTGCAAACAATTAGTTTGTCATTAATACGATGGTGCATGTAGTAAGTTCTATAATACTCTGGATAAATGCCTTCAACTTTAAAACTTCTACCTTCATCTATTCTTGCTTCATCCTTGAAGGTTTTAGTGCTTCTGAACGCTGGGTCTTTAGGGTCGTACAAACAGTTATTGGTTATCTCGTTCATAAAATATGTCTTAGTTTTAACTTCACTAAACCTGCCATAATGTAACTTCTGATAAAGATCCAAAACTTCTTGATATCAAATACATCTATGCAAAGATACAGTGTATTTGTGAGCTCTTTCTGACTCTTTTGTGGTGTTTAGAACGGATTCACCAAAGAAGTCGGTGTAGGGTCTGGAGTTATCACCATCAATAGAAATCTACTACTCTTCTCCAGTCTCAATGTATCCTATATCTCTAAATTCATTAGGCTAAGATTTCTCATATTTTTGTGATATCCTTTGGGCGGGGTCATCAGTTCTATATCAATTATTAAGTTAGAAATTTATCAGTTATCTTAGTAAACAAGGTTATGCTTTATTTTTAGCCTTTAGACTTTAACTAGAGACTAAGAAAGAAAGTTGTTTTTATGATGCCACACAGTATTGTAAAATATTTAGAAGTAAATATCTTAAGTTTATGTATCCTGGTCTTTTCTTTAGCCAATTCCTCTGAAAAATAGCATGGTTTAGTTACCTTGTTTAGGCTTAGGAACTACTACTCCAGCTTTGAGTTCAAGTTCTCCCCTCTCCGTTGGGATATTGGTTGAATCTTTTCATGTGTTTCTTTTGTTGTTTTTAGATTTTGAACCCCAAACTGCGGAGCCTAGTGGTGTAAAAAGGCATCATGATTTGATGGGATCAGGCCTAAACATGTTCCTAGCACTGGTTTTGATCCAGTCGAGATCAAGTAGTATTTCGTAATCATCAGTTCTGAGCTTAATTGTAGTTACACTGTCGCATACATCTCCTCCTTTCCTCCAGTTTCGTAATAATTCCCTTCTATTTTCTCACCTTTAAACTGCGAGCCCATAGTTAAAATTGTGTTCTGTGTATTAAGCACAGATTTGGGGTGCCTTCTGGGGCTGACTAGAGGGCAGGGGTTTTGAGGTGGGAGTCAGGCTGAAGGGGATTAAGGAGGATTAAGGGGTGGATAAGGGAGATATTTTGGAGGTTTAGGGGTTGTATGGGTATGGTGGGAGGGATATGGGGGTGGAGAGGGGGAGGAGGGTTGGGGGAAGAGAAGGGGCTGGGAGGTGGAAATTGGGTGTAAGATGGGGTTATTGGGGTTTGAGGGAGAACTTAGGGTACAATTTTTGATAAAGTTAATGGATATTAATACCGAATTTGGGATAGATATTTATATGTAAGAAGTATGATGCGAGGAAATAATTATATAATATTTTTAATGTTGTATTTTCTTAGGTTAAAGGGGTTTTGGGGTTTTGGGGTTTTGGGG